CCTCAAAGACCGCTTCCGACTCCGGACAATTCTGTGTTTACTGAAAATGCAAATATTATCACGACCAAAGAAATTGACGAAGAATTGTGGGATGTTATGACCGTCCTCAAATTAGAGAGGTAATTTGCAGTCTGATTAACTAATTCACTCATTTATTGCAGCAGGAAATCTTTCTGCTTCACTAGCATAATACTACACTTTTGGATACTGTGGCAAACGCCATACCAGAAAAGTAACATTCTGTTAGATTTGGTGTCCTCAAAAAAACCCCCAAACGGAGGGCGAAATTTTCAACCCACCTGTATGTTATAACTCGCCCATTTTATTGTCCCTCATTTCACAACAAAATTCACCACTTAAGTAGTCCACATGTAGGATTATGAATTCTTTGTTTTGTCCCAAAATTAAGCCAATTTATTCATTACTGCGAATAGTTCGGCTTGGCTAGCTAGCATAGGAAGCAAGTCGCCTCTTAGGGTAAATAGAATTATTTGTAAACCAGTTTGGTTTTCGAGGAGGACTCAAATGAATATATCCTTTATGATGATGTTCAACTGAATATGCTGCACAGTAAACCTGTGTACAGTCTTCATTGAAATATACTACGACATTTCGAATATCGTACCAACTGGAACATGAGACGGCCTATGTGCAGCACATTTAGCTGAAGAACCTCATAAACGAAAGATTCCGTGAAAAAAGATATTGATTTGCAAATGATCGAATTTGTTACCATCAGTCCCATTTGGGTTCAAGTAGAACATCAGGTTGACGGTAACTAGGGGCATGCAGCTATCCGATGAGCCATGATGGGCTGTCGATGAGTTATTAGGAAACTTGTTAGTAGTTTTCTTTATGTAAATTTGCCTTTTCACGGGCTTCGCGGGCGAGAAGCATATCGGGTGGGATATAATGTTATCAGGAAATTTGTCAAATTGTATTGGAAACATCCAAATTTTTTTGAAGAAATTAACTGGATTTTGTAGGAAACAAGCGTCCAATGGTGGCAGGTGGAATAGTAGGAATTGCTGAAAATTTTCAGACTAATACTTGTCAGGCCTTGCATGTGTGAACAATGTGGCCAACAAAATTGGTGCAAATCGACCGTAGGCGACATTATTCAATCCAATGAATGTATTGTTCATGTTACTTCTCCAAGGATGTGTTGCTTAAAGGCCACCTCACGTTTCAGTGGATGTGATATTCAAAATTTGCTAAAATCTGCGACAGACTAAAATGTTCATCCTTTTTCGGGTTAGAAAAATTTATTTGCCCTTCGAAATGCCCATCTATTACCAAATACGAAAGCTGTAAAGATACCCTCCCCTAGTTGTTTTCTTTCCAAACAGCCGACTGTTTAGAATGACTGCAATTGCTGTGTGTATTGAGCTTCATCATTTTTAGTACTTTCTTTAAATATAGGATAGATTTTACATTTATAAGGCGGTGGGAACAAAATTGTATCCAATTCGGTGGTCATCTAGACTGCTTTTCTCGGTGCATGATGTAATTCTATCAAAATGACCAAGTATCCGTGGAAGTTCATATCGTAATTTGAATTTGCTATATTATTAACTGTGTTTAGCTGGTGGTCGTACTGATATTTGCTAATACGCAAGAAATTAGGTGGACTAGCTTGCTAGATTTCAGCAAACTGATATGTAGGTAAGCTTGATTAATTGTTACGCAAAAAGGACAAACGTTCATTTGTGAAATATGTCAACTATAGCTCGGAAGGCGTCATGTGCAAGTAGCGGATGTGCTTGTGTGGTTTACTGTTCAATCCCTGGTGTCCATTTATCCTTGCTGGAACCGTATACGAGGGAATTTGATTCCCACCTCCTTTAGAACTGTCAAACTTTTTACTCAGTCGCCTGAGACCCATTCACATAAGACTTCGCGTTGTACCGTTTTAAGCGTACTTTTCAAACAACAGACATACATGATTTCGAATAGACCTTGAAGCTCACGGAATATGCAGTTTGCCGACGGGTTCCCTTTAGTTTTGAACCAACAGTTTGCAAATTTATCTCGCCACCTATTAGTGATCTGTTGCAACCGATCCATAGTAGTAATGTATAGCGCGTTTTGTCTTCGGCTACCGCAAGACAATTGGACTCATTAACCTGCAAATTTGTCAACAAACTTTGAAGACTCCTGCACTATTCTTCATAATTTCAGTTCATCATTAGGTCTAGTGTGCCCACTCGTCGATGCGTTTTCATCAATCAACTCGCTCCGTAAATGAACCAGTATATCCGTAGAATGTTTCGTCTATTAAAATCTGGGTTATACTCATGCAGACACCCGTCAGTCTATTTTTCCAAGAGCATCTATTCACGGTCTCTCACCGATCGTTTGCCCATTATAAGGTAATATCAGGACTTTTTAACAAACAGAATACTGGCTGTTCTAGAGCACGTGTAAAAATCTGGTCGCAGACTTGTGCGTTGCTCACTACTCTGGATTTTTGGAAGTGGAGAAAGCTTGCACTCTGTCCGACCAACAAAAGATCTCGCGTACTTTTCAGAATGAAATGCTGGAGTCTCTCTTAATCAATCCAATTACATTTATTAACCCTAGGTGTGATTCTGTCAGCAGAGCCTGTTTGATGTGGGCACCGTCTTGTGGACCGGCGCAATAATCTAAATCGGAGCACCGGAGTGTGGCTAAACCTATGGAATTGATTGACGCTCCGATGTGCATTTCTCAGAATCGAGAGTATAAAGCAATTTGAAAAACTGTCACAAGTCGGAAAATCACAGCTCACCGAGAAAATCAGTGGGTGCCGAAAGAAAGGAAGCACTCTGCGAAAATAAAAAAAACTATCCCAGCTGATATACGACAGCCTCAAATGGCCTGTTTTGGTAAAATAGGGTTTAATACGGCTTACATATTATAAGATCCCTTACAGTGATGGCCTAAACGCTTTTCGAAAAAAACTTGACAAGGCTCATATATTTGTTTTGCCGAATTGCAACTTAAAACCATCTTCTTCATCACGTAGTCAAAACTCAAACTAGAAACATACGCCCCACAGGAGTTTTATTAGCTGAATTAGAAGGTGCGTATGAATTTTGGAAATGCTTGTATTGCACGACATATCCTGGTAGTTCCGTAATATCACATGGCGCATAAAATATGTAGCATGTTCACGAGAGACTTTCCACAGAGCACCACAAAACAAACAGTCAACTCTATAACTTGCTACGGTATCCATCCAACAGACTTACACAGCACCGGGAAAAGGCATTGATGCATCGCACTCCTGCAAATGGTTCAAATAAATGGGCACTTTCGTACTCGATAATCAAACCACTGATCAAGCCGACGCGAACCGTTATATTGCCACCACAAGTGTGCCAGTTTTGTCCAGAAAACCATCACCAAGACAAGCTTACATTGACGTCGAATCGAAAGTTAAGATACTGTTAAATCAACAGCCGTACTCCTCTGGTGCACTTTGGGTCTAGACTAAGAAAATAGAACATAATCGTTGGCAAACAACAGCGTGTGCACAATAGAGTATTTTGCAGTGCTTAACTAGTTGATGCCCAAAAGGGCATGTGTGCCCGTAATGATACAACGCCTCAGTGAGGATGCTTGGTCGTCCAACTGTAACACCTTTTCGCTGCCTAGCTATCATGCTACCCTCAGGAGGCGCGAGCGCTGGGATACTGCCAGAGTGCCCAAAACTAGTCAGGGTAAGTTGAGAGGCAGAGGTCGGGTTCGAACTACGGCCGTTCTGGTCAGTAAATTTGCTCTCTAACCATTTAGCCCATCTCGCCCAAACGGAGCTGTGGCAAGAACACAGCGGCGCTTTTTTCTGGCATTTATTGTGAGATCATTGCATACTGTACAACTGCCATATACCTAAGATTCTGTTTCTCAACTAAAAGGTCTTCCTATGATTCGTGAAATCAGCTTGGCATTAGTTTGTTTTTACCTTCAGTTCTGTTGTTTGGAGTATTTTGGAAAACGTCAGCTATAATATAAATGCCGCAGCGCTATGTTAGGATTCATTCCTATAGCCTACTTTCCTCCGTTCTTGTCAAGCACGCACCGTTTGTTTTTCTAAATAGGAAAATGTCAGTAGCTCAGGTAGCGTAGATGGTCGATGGCTTGTCGCTGAGCGTATAAATGCCGCAGCGCTATGTTAGGATTCATTCCTATAGCCTACTATCCTCCGTTCTTGTCAAGCACGCACCGTTTGTTTTTCTAAATAGGAAAATGTCAGTAGCTCAGGTAGCGTAGATGGTCGTTGGCTTGTTCGCTGAGCTGGGAAATGTTTTGTCACCAGTCGGGGTGACATCATCAGTGCGTTATTGGGGAGCGTAGTGGTGCGTAGCGGTGGGCTAGTGGTTGTGCTTTGAGTAGTGTTGCGTGTGTGTTAATATACGTGCTGCTTGCAGGGGATGACCTTCGATCGCGATTGGTTTTTCGGTCGGACGGTTCCGTCGATTGCTCCGTTGTCGTGTGTTCCCATTCGCCGATGAGCTTGGCATCCCCTGACGTCGTAACCCGGTCGACGAAACTTTGCGATCAAATTGTCCGGCTCGGCAAACAAGCAAATGACACATCGTTTGTTTTATCTTTCGATGCTTTAGGAAGATAAGTAAGCGTATGAAGTTTTCTTTCACCGATGTTTACAGCTTTTGCGTAAAATTACTCAGTGACGCCAATGCTGTTGACATAGGCGAACTTGTTCGGGAACAAATTTGAAAATCCAAGTTATGCTTGGCATGAACGCTTGAGCAAACCATATGGAGCGGATGGGTTAACAAGGGCGGACGTCCGCCAAGGGGGGAAGTAGGTATACGAACTCTTCAGAGGCACATAACTGCGCAGCTTTCAAATCACTTATTCTATGCGGATACAGTTTTTTTAGATTGTTTAAAGTAAAGCCAATCCAATTCCCAGCTTCGAGCATGAAAACATAATGTAAGGACCAGGCATAGGATATTCTGGGTGGTATAATGAAGTGCAATGCAAATAATAAATCAGCACTTCACCGAGGCAAATCCCATCTGATTATTTTGCTGATCAAAAATGGTAAGAAAACGCCGCAGGAACGAAATTCCAAAAATCCATTCTTTCTTTCTAACGTCGGGCTCAAGTTGAATCCCGTAAACATGAACCTCGCTCTTCTAAAAGTGAGAAAAATTGTGCATCAGATATGTTCCTCCCGAATTCACATAAACAAAAAAGGAAAGTTTTTTACTTACATATCTCAGTAGTTCCGCCGGTGGCAACGTAAATATTTGAGAGCGCAAAGTCACTGTTATTTCGCGTACGTACGGCAGGTTTCGTGGTTCAACATGGAGTATCCCGTTAGCATACTCTTCTATGACGGAGTTTTTTAGGAGTATCTGGGAGGATCGTGTTGGTGCATAGGTTACCGGTGACCCGGTATCCACAGCTATGCGACAGGGAGCACACAGAATTATGTTGCCATAACTTATGCTGAAAGAGAAGAAATTGAAATCAAAGATGATGCATACATTTTTGGTCAACGTATTAAGCGCGATCGGGCGAAGAAGAAGTAATTTGCCTAGGGATATCACAGCATTTTGTACTTGTCGTCTAACGGTGGACATACTGTTCACTCCTGTGAGCTAAAAGAGGCTAATTCCGCTACATTTTCTCACGGACTAGAGCAATTTAATTAATATGGAATGTCTTTCGGTACTAATTTGTGACTGGGGAAATAAGGGTTTCATGTTGTCACAATTGAAAGCTCAAATTTAGCTTTTACGAGAATATAAAAATGATGAACTGCCGCACACCCGAAGCAAAAAAATGAACAATGTTATCTGGCAGATCAACTAGTGTATACATGGGTCGACATAATCACCATATTTGATGTCTTATTGAGTGCGCGTCCCGGTCTCTCCTCTGACTGCTTTGTAAGCTTTGAGGAAGATGTGGAAGACGATGATACCCTCTTATATATTAGTTGAGGTCCAATCAAAATTAGCTGTTGTTTAAACTCAAAACGCCACCCAGTTGCCTCCAATGTTCAGGAACTGAATACATAACTGGAAGTTCTTTAGGCCAGCTATCCGTGGGAAGGAATTTCGTCATACATATAAATTTTGGGTGGGTGATGTTTTCATTACAACTGGACTCCATTTCTCATTTTAGGTATTGTCCAACGTGGTTATGATCGGGATAGGGCCACCTAATCCTGGGACATTTTGAGTACAAACAAGTGAAAACCACTTTAGGAGAAGGCAGTACAGGTTGATGAATGAACTGGCATTTCAAACAATGCACATACATACTTATATTATTCCTCGGGTTACTCATTTCTCTCATAAACTTCAGTTACTCCGTTTTTGACGGAAACAACCAGTATCATTTAATTCAAGCATATTTACTCTGTTTTTTCTCCACGGAAGTGCAAATGTTTCAGTAAATACTTATAAGCATGCCTGAAAACTCTCCCTTTGTCTTATTTGCCAAAAGATCGCTAACCAACATTAACCAGTCCATTGGTGTTCTACGATACCATGGTGTTTTCTGGTAGCTAAAATGCATAGAACTGCAATATAATCCGGCGGGAACCTCTCAAATAAAAAGTGGCCTGCCAGGCGCCTGAAGCTTAAATCACGATCCATCCTTTAATCACTGAATCATTATTATTTGGGGATGTATTGCCTCTCTCCAAAGCAGTGACTTTTTGAAAACAGCGTTGATGCGTCATGTGAATTATTCTACTCTCTGGGTATTTATAATTATATATATTTATTACATGTATTTATGTATATTTATATAAATACGATGATAAGATTCCAGCGAGCTAAATAGTATACACTTGCGCAAACAAACTGTTATCATGTTCTCATGATATTGCAAGCGTTAGTTTATCTACATGTAAGTTCTGGCAAGACAGCCATGTTTGGCGGTTGCGCAATCGTAGATAAGCTGGACTCACATTTGGTATTATATTGCAAGAAAAATGGTAATCCGCTTTTGACCCAACTCATTTTAAAACCATGCAGCTTAAAGTCTTCCTAGTTAGACATTTTGAGAATTAACGATGCTCGCAGATAAGTAAAGCGAAAAAATAATACAAATTTTTGCAGCGCTTAAAAAATGCTAACAGTGATCCGCTGAGGTAAAACCTAATGTGTGTGCATATTATTGCTTTTTTCTGTGCTGCTGTGATAACAACCAATGCATACAGCTTACATAAGTAAATGGATCTTAAACCAACTAAAAAAGTCTAGTGGTTTTTAAATCAATCTCCGTAAAACCATCCTTGCCTGCTTATAGTTAAAAAATATGCGCTTGCGTAGCTAAAAAGATAACAACAGAATGTGGGACCACAGGAAACTCTCTCGAGCTTTTATGGGACCTTATCACGCCCTTAGGCTTAAAGTAAACACAATAGAGCAGTTTGTCAAAGTATGTAAGTGCTGTCAGCCCTTCTTGCGACTACGGTGAAATTGTTGGGGAATTGCGGTACCACTGACGTTTTATCCCTGTGTAGCCAGGAAAGGACGCCGTCACGCAGTCCTAAACTAATAAACGGTCATTGTATTATGCTTAGCATCCTTCTGTAGATAGCCTATTCTGCTGAATTATCCGCTCACCTGCTTCGCTGTTTTTTCCTGTTTCTGTTACAAACATTAACAGTGATTGGCACTATTGGGATTCCCTATTTTATATAGAATATGGACAATTGATGTATGTGTGGATTGTCTGGGTGCAAAATTTGACGACATCTTTGAATAGCACTGAAAAAAACAAGTAAAACTCCGCTGAGCTCAAAGCAACTACATATTACCCTCCAGGTAGGAAGAAATGCGATCTCTACTAACAAATAATTGGAAGCTTAATAGTTAAGGATAAATTTGATTGTTCTTCTCATAAGAAATCATTCAGTTTATTAACTAACGGTATGTAGTTATTCCACATGTGGGGTTGCTACGCGTGCTGTTATCAGGGTTCCCAGTTTAGGGGTAAGTTTGCATGATGAGGGGAGTTACGCGACATCCCAACATCCCCATGGCATAAACCGGAAGGCATAATCGTTAAGGAATGGAAGATAATATTAGAATCTACTGTACTCAGCACATTGTTCATTTCATTGCGTAGTGCTTACGAATGCCGTCGACGAATGTCTACTTGAATGACCAGACTTCACAGGGATGTAAAACGGGGCTTTGTGAGCAGGCTTCATCGCGTAGGATTTTGACAAACCATTGTTCAACAATAATGGGCCTTACTTGTACTTGATACGTCATTTACACCCGAGATTCGTAGAGTGTTAGCTTGAAATCAGCGTGCTTTTTTGACACCTCCATAGTGTTGGATGTCCTCAAAATTGATTACCAACTGAACGCATTTTCATCAACATAGGTTACCGCTAGCAGCTATTTTGCGACGGCACATTTTCACATAAATTGCATCGCGAGTGCATATTTTTACCTATTCTTCTCCTGCTCCATCAAACTGAAGCCAAAAAGGTCATTTTGTATATATTGGTACAACGGACACTTTTAGATCCCAGATTACGAAGATATTGATACAAGTATTTGCTACTAATCATGGTTGCTTGTGTCGTTTCGGTGTAGCGGCTGGAAATCGAATGAGCATGGTAAATGTACTCAGCGACTCGCAGAATATAACCCAAATGCACTCACCTGTCAGCGTAAATGGTCCACAGTTTTGATTCAAAAACTGGAAGATAAACAATTGGCATATGGTGATGATCTGCCATTATGCCTCCAAAGACTAGGTCGCCTCGCTCGAACCATGAAACTCCGCGCACACCCGGTTGACTGTGAAAATATATTGAAAATATTTCTTGCAAAATCTTTACCTTAAAAAGCACTATTTTGCGGCCATTGCGATACAGTATCGTAAATCGTGCGCCAGCAAAGACCTCAAATACTTTGGGCAATTTAAATATGTGATTTCGGATCCAGGGTTGCGCTTACCATTCTACCGAGGAACATCAGACTTTGAGTGTACTGCTCAATCACAAGTGGGAAGCAACGTTGCCACATTGGCTTAGAGAAAATTGGCCGAATATGATGATTGGAAACTGGCACACGATCTATATTAGGGCAGTTTTTCTTTGAGTAAAGGATGCATTGCAGAAGCATTGGGTTTACTGGGAGAAGGCCAATCAACGTTTCCAGGTTTCTGGTCATAAAGCACTACAGAATATCGCAAAATTGAAATTAGCGCAACGCTGTCGAGTGCTGTGAGTGCTTCTTTGTGTAATGCTATCTTGGTCATGTATTAACAGTACTCTACCATCATGGTATTATTGTTCACGATTAAAAATTTCAACTAGAAAACTTGATGCTGAACTGAACCACCCGCCTACACTAAATGGCATGAAAATGTGCATAAACTATGTGAAACCTGCCCATTTGCTATCCCAAGATCAAGATTGATCTGCTTTGCAGCCTTTTCATTAGTCAACGCATGATTATTTATTGTCGTTGCTTCTCTCAGAAGTAAGGAGTGCCTTCAGTAATTTTGCTTTGAGTACTTTGGCTGATTGCTTGTTATTGGATTAACGATTTGAAAGTTATACCATCAGTTTTGCTCTTCACAGGGGAACAAGTACTCAGTGAATGCACGTTTAATTTTTTGAACCTCTGTGCTGTAAATAACGGACAATCAAGCCCTTCCGTTTTACCTGGAGCAGACGCATGACATATATTTCTTAACTGTTCGTTGTTCTCGCCGGTTCTCACGCGACAATGATGATACAGTAAGGCGGCCTGTTTAGAGATATACTTCAGGGAAATTAGACAAATTATTCTTGTTCGAATGTCATTTGCCAGCTAAATCTGTTGTATTGGTACTGAGCTACGATAACGCGGATTTTTTCAAAGCTTGGTGACTCATGCAGTTGGCGATGCTGGATATTCATGACAGCCATGATAGTAGACTTCCTCAACGATAGTTTGCTTTTACTAACCTTCAATTTTCTAATTGCCTTCTTTTGTGAACGCCACCCTATAGCCAGAATTTTTCAAGCCTTCATGTTGTGATTTTAACCCAGTTACCTACAGTTACGTTTGAGGTATCAGTCAGTGGGATTCAATAGTACCCTGCCCATTCAGCAAATATGGTAAGCATACTCGTAAGTGACATTCGGAGCACATGAACTGGACCAGTGTCTGGCGTTGAAACGTTTGGCTCAATTGTTAAATAACTTTCAGGCTCTCTGAGCACGTTCCAAAGCACACGCTATCGATGCTAGTGTGCATACTTCTAGAGAAATCATTATACAGTTTGTATTAGGTTTAGAAATAAACGGTATAAATGGAGATTGAAGGATAACAATTTTAAGTTTTCACCTAGAATCAACCCTTGATACGTCTTATGAAGTGCAACTCTGGTTCGTTTTACTTGCCATAAAAACGTTAACTGAGTATTTGAGAAAAGTATCTTCAAGCGAGATCCCGAAAAAAGCTTTTTTGGACAACATTATTTTGACGTCAGCAGGGTGGAAAGCTAGAAGAAGAGTGTACAGTAGGCAGTACTTGATAGCATCCAGCGTCGTAAACAGCTAAGTCTTAAAAGCGCGGCAAAACCTCGAGATCATAAATATTTTGACGCGTCATCCTACAAATTCGCCGATATCAAACAGGTATAAACTCAAGGCAAATGTAGGGAAAGTGAGATGTTTAGCAACCAATGAAGCTCAAAAAATTCAAATTTCAAAATGATTTGTGTATTTTGTACAGTGGAGATTGTCATGCGTATGCGAACATAATGTCTAGTTTTCGCTAAATTTAGGCTGGGTAACTGCCTTGTTTCAGCATAATCATAGTTGATTCGCAAATGGCTTTCAAAAGATGGAATAGTCCTGAAAATGGTGAAGCTTTGGGACTGAAGATCAGGCATTTTGCCTATCTGCTTCTCAAATAACGAAATTTCGATGCCTGGAGCCGCCTTCTGAAAGTGGAGCTAATGTGCCTGCCTATTTTGCAGGCAGATAAATTCTTGTAACTATTAGAAGAAGATGCCTCAATCAGTGTACGTTCCGTTCCATAATTAAGGTTGGATATGCTTGTACTGCTAATAACGAGAAACCAAATGCCGGTAAAAGAAAGACAGATGGAGATTCGGTGGGTCCTTCTCCATTGCCCTGAATCTAAATTTTGCATAGCCAAATAGAACGTGGTTGTGACAACGAGGGAGAGGGAAAGAACCAAGAGACTTGGAACTATGTATTCTTCTATTTTAGGTAAGGTAAATTTAAAGGAATCAAACGCAAATCTCTGTAGTCGGCTTACTTAAACAAATGGAGTCCTGTTACACAAGTTACTATAATATGCAGACTAAAACTTACCCACAAAAACGGAATGTAAAACGACCATCTTGTACGATGTCAGCGCTCACGAGATAATCAATCAACGTGGTATTAAAAAATTCCCATGCCATGTGGGTTTTTTTGGGACGTTTCATCCCAAACACTCCGTCGTAGCCTTCACGTTTGTCAACGGAACCTGCAATCCTTGCCATTTCGACGAAAATAAACTCTGGTACGCAATGTCCCTGAATCTTTTCGTCAAATAAGAACGGTGATATTTGTCACAACGTCTTACCACAAGCTCATCGGCCACAACATTACCTTCATGATAGTCTCCGCCGTAAGCAGTTTCGTAAGCTTTGTTCAAGGATGTTCGCGTTGGAGAGTTTATGTCGTATTTGGTTTTGCCTTCAAATTTTTCATCTTGCGATGCACTGGAAGGAAGCCAACGGGTAAAACCTCCGGTGTCAAACATAATCTTGACCTGCTGGGTTCCCACAGAAACTTGGCCAACTGGATTACCCTAGATAAAGAAAAAAGTTCAGTTGTATTTTTTCAGCTTATTACGCACCACATCGTCACTGAGAAGATCCAGGGAAAAAACATGGCAGCGTACATGCGGTCTTAAAATCCGTTGGAGATCAATTACAGTGAGTACCTTTGGACCAACAAAAGGAGTAAAAATATAAGCGCCCTAATCCTTTTCTTTTGCAGTTCAACCATCAGAACCGTACTTTCCTATTCACGATCTGAAAATGTCTCCCGTATCGTTTTCTGCAGCGCACCAAGTGGACAAATATCCAATCGATGCAAAGGTTTGTGGATGAAAACTACTGGTAGTTCTCGAGTGTCTGCCTCGTAACAACGGCAAACTCCCTTCGGATTGGCCATTTGAGCTCCTTAAGGATGACTCGCACCAATGGGCAGCTAAATGTGTACCTGTAAGTTAGATAAGGTTGCAATGAGTTGCCTGTGTTTTGCACCGTTACTTATCTCAAGTGTGCTATATAGTATGGAAAGAAAGCCAAAACGATATAATAAGTATCACGTGAAATTTATTTTTTACTCTGAAAGTTGATCGAGCGTGAATTTACTGAGGCTAACTTCAACGGGCTTGAGGTTTGCTTCGCAATGGCTTTCAAACGTTATACACAAATACAGTTTAACATGGTTTGCAACAGTCATATTCAAGTACTTATACTAATAGCTGTAACTCATATAACCGGCTATTCGCAGAATATCCTGCATGCATTCAGACCAATCGTTTTGACGGTCTGCTTCAGCGTTATGGTCAAAAAGTGAGCAATAATGTATTGCGTTAAACGGACCTACGCCTGCGACATTGATTAGTCTAAAATTGTTAGCTGATTTCTGACACGAGGTTTGCTAGTTTAACCATGGCCAAGGTGAAAAGTGAGAATGGATCAACAAGCGTATACTTGCTATTAAGGTGTCCACCAGAAACTCAGCAGGTTAGTTTGGGAGAGTCATAGGTTTAGATTGTCTAGAGAAAAATACACCTTTATCGTTTATTTCACTTTTTATACTACAAGAGTGTTTTTTGGTGAAAATAGAGCTTTCAAAATGCAATTACAGGCACCTTTGTTAAGAAACGAAACGAAATGACTTTCTGGAACCAATCCAGGTTGTGTACACAAGCGTTGCTTAAACATTTTCGAGTAGTCGCATCAACGTCAGTCAATTTGTCCGGTGAATCCCTGGGATTTTACTTAAGAATTATGGAAGGTAATTAGTGAAATATGTAGTATACGAAGTCATCAATATGAAAAAAGAAGCTGCTGAAAAGGAAACCATAATGTCTATTCCACTGTGCGGTTCAGAAATTTGATTTCTCGTAATTTGTGGAAGCATTCGGTAAGAATCTTAAAATTCTACAGACGGGTAATTAAAACCAGTCAGCGATCGGACAGGTCCATGATAAGCATAGTTTCTCTTCGTTACAACTCAGTGTGGTCCAGAAAAGCTGCTGATGCAAACATCTGTTTCAATATTTTTTTTTATCTGTCTGAATTTTTCGCAACGTAAAAGGGACTCACAAGTCAAATGACCGCCGAAACCTTAAGTTAATTGAGTGGAGTTTGAGACCCCCTAATTCTGTTTCCACAGAACACTGCTGACGCATGTTACCAGAATGTAACTTATACAAATTAATTGGCCTGACGCACACCTGCCAGCTTTGTATTCTTCGCCACGAAATGTTCAAATTGTTCTGACATCGTAATAAGTTTCACTGGAGTGTTCAGGTTTCCGAGTCTTTTTGGGGTTAACATACGCTTACGGCTCACTATTTCCTCAGGAATGAAATCCAAGTTGTCCAATACAAAATATCTCTTGCAAGGGTAATCGAATATGCTACTTAGTCCTTTGAACCGCTGTCCCAAAATCCACAGGTTCATGGAGGAGCATGAATTACCGCACCGAAAGTGGTAAAAGCGTTGTGAATAAGTTTCTTCATTTATCAGGTTTATGAGTTAATGGGTTGATAATAACTCGAACGATGCCCACCGAGCCTGCGCATAAACTGACGTGGCAGAAGCATACACGCGAAATTTGTTGTAATCCCACTTTTGATATATTCAGTGACAAGCACTAATCAGCCATACGTAACATGCTCTTGCGCAGAACAGCATAGCATTGGGATGGACAAACGGAAAATGCCGTCCAAATAAAGTTGTGTGCCATTTGTAGTTATTTGGTGATATAATTTTGCAAGTCATTTTAGGGCATACACCACAGTGTGCAACAACCAACAGCAACAGAAACATCCTTGGGCATGATACTTCCCACACTACAGTGCACGACCATTAACACAACGCCTGTGCTGATGCTTATCAACACTCGTTATTTTGTCCTTTATTTAATTAGCAGTCCGTTATTTGTTGTGAGGGAAACAAGTAGTCAGAGTCCCTAAGAGCCGAAGAAACCAAGAAAGTTAGAGAATCCGGGAATGCTTAAGAATACCGTTCATTTATTTCTGGCGATCATTATCGCGGTGGAGAATGTTGCGTAATTTGTGTTCATAAAACACCACATAAATACTGCTTGCGTGTTTAGACTCGCTAATTTGTTCACGGTAGATTGTTTTTTAAAGATAGAACAACTTTCCACTTTCAGTACAGGATATTCCATCAGCGGTCAATCAAATTGGGGTAAACATCTACCTTATCTAATGTACTTTTGATTCATTTCCCTTCAAATACCACGTAATGGTTTTTGAGACACATCACGAGGTGTTTTACTATCTCAGCTGTATGTTCGAACAAAAACTATCTAATCAATGTAAAATGATGTATAAAAAAGCTCTGCCAAACTTGGAGCTTCCGGGGAGTTCTACTACTCTCCGACATTTATGCAGTTTGTATAATGATATCCGTTTGATGCAAGCCTGAACAAACCTGGTATTCGAATTCAAATGGCCGCGTGCTAATGACATCTCCTTAAACGACCGCGAAAATTTTAAAAAATATACATTCCCAACTAGACCACCCATTCAGCCATCAACTGCTGAAACACAATGAACAACATCCAAGCAACCAGCATTATGGCTACATACTGTATATAAATTTTATTTTATTTTTTTCGTATCCTTTCCACAAACTATGTGCGTGGGTGACGGTTTTGTTTAGCTGATATACGGTACCGTTTGCCTAATATGTTAAAGCCACATTTTTATCAATATGATGGGGTGAATTTCTGGCAGTTTCAAACGAATTTCTGCGCTCATGGATTTCTTCATGCAAGAATTTGGCAACGACTAAAATGCTGCGACTATCTGTTTCACAACGACGGGGCAGGTTATTTAAATTGGTGAAACGAAACTTTTGCGTCGAAGCACTTTCTAAAATATTTTTTGCATCACAGGAATAATTAACTATTCTTGTGGCCAGTAGTTTTCTTGATTTTGTGAGCAAATGTTATGCAAGTGCTCACAATAGTGAAAACTCAAGGCCAGCAATATTTAAAAGTCTAACCCACCAGCGTATATTTATGAGTGGTGCTGTGGAACGTTTGTATCGTTACTGGGTACGTTTTTTTCAAATTTAGTTTTCGATCACCGTAAGTGACAAAAAGGAAAAGCTTTTTGAAACTTCTACGCCGATTTTTGGAAAAAAGCAAAAGGCGCGAGACTGTTTCACAACGACGTGGCAGGTTAGTTAAATTTGTGAAACTAAAATTTTGCGTCGAAGCACTTTCTTAAATATTTTTTGCTTCACAGGAATAATTAACTATTCTTGTGGCCAGTAGTTTTCTTGATTTTGTGAGCAAATGTTATGCAAGTGCTCACAATGGTGAAAACTCAAGACCAGCAATATTTATAAGTCTAATCCACCAGCGCATATTTATGAGTGGTGCTGTGGAAAGTTTGTATCTTTACTGGGTACGTTTTTTTAAATTTAGTTTTCGATCACCGTAAGCGACAAAAAGGAAAAGCTTTTTGAAACTTCTACGCCGATTTTTGGAAAAAAGCAAAAGGCGCGAGACAACAAGACAGGCAAACTTGAAATTAGTAGATTTTGGAATACCATTGTAAAAACAAAGATTACAAGAACTAGCACATTCAGTAATGCTCCATGAGCTAATTAATCTCTTACGTTTTAAGTGAACATATACAGAAGCCTGATTCTTGGCATTTATAACTGCTTTGATTAGTTTTGACTGAAATGCCGAAGTGTTCTAATTTTTTACAGAAAATATCAAGTTTGTCATTACCTTAAGCAAAAATTCTAGTGATTATTATCTTGACTATTATACAATAGCTTGGCTTGAATCGAATGCTCGTGTAAAGAATCTCGTTGGCATATTTTGTTTAATCCGTATTTTCTCAAACTTTAAATGTAACCTTTATCTTAACACTGATAAAACTGCAACCACTCAGAAACGCCGCCAGCAAATATACACTTTATGATTGCCAGCACTGTTGTGCTGTGGTCTCGTGCGCTGCACGTTAGAGAATTAATCACAGTTTACAATAATGAGCAAAGCATGTTCTTAAAATTACAGATATTTGACCAAAAAATGATAAATAGATGCTGAGAAACTAGATCCAATAACTAACTTATTTACTCACCCACTTACTTAAGTTTAAACATTCGCGCGAAAAATATTTCCAGCATGTATCAAGGGAAACCTGCATAGATTTGTTTTCAGAAATGTAACATAATTTTTGGAATCGTCCAAGTAAGCTGTTACACTTCGCCCAGTGCCCTCTTTAGATAATACAACCCCAGCCAGCGAATGATTACTAATGATAAGTTAGTAGCTGAAAATCGATTTGCAGCCCGCTATTCCATAGAGTTCACCGTCCACGTAAACGAAATTTTGCTGACTGAACCCATTCTATTCGTCATGAAAAGGTGACGGTTTTCTCAGGGCAAAGGATAACACGCGAGTTTGTCTTTGTCCTCTAATCTAGTCATAAATAGGCCTTTTACTTGTTAACTAACTTAGGGATGTGTACACCGGTAAGGGAGTCTTTAATATACCGTTTCGATTTTCAATCTA